GTTTTGCATACCAAACCTGGTCAAAACTTTATCAATGTAGGATTATTAAGATAAGCCTATTTTTCTTTTAACCTGATCTTGCAAAAGCTTGATCCTAGGAATATAACTTACACCTTGAAAATCCACCATGTCAAAATAATTGAACAACTACCTCTTTACTGATGATAAAGCTTCCATGTCATTATAAATGAGTTGGATGTCAACAATATATATAGAATTAGAAAAATAATGACATTCCCTTGTACACTTATGATTTATTCACTAAGAAATTTTCTGGTATCTTTTTGTAGATTAACTTGCCTTCCATAGGTATCACCATACTAGAAAGTTCTACAAGATCCCAGATTTTATTACAATACATAGATTCGAACTCTAATTTCATAGCAACTTACCAAAACGATCTGTATCCATATCGGTTCATGCTTCCGTGTAGCTTACTAAGTCCAACTCATGTTTAACAGGGAAGTCCGTAAATGTCTCACCTAAAAACATGATTCTGTCAGATTGGATGATAATCCTCCCACTACAATAATATACCAATGCAGGAATCTGTGTACTAGATGATGTTGACGCATCAATAGGGAATTCATATATTATTCTCAATCTCTAAAATAAGTGTGTTCACATGTGGTACATCTGGTACTCATACCATATTCTCTAACATTATGCTACTAGGTATGTGATTCATAATATGATTCTCCTATAGATAAACAGTGAGTGTAAACAATCAACTTTTATCATTGAGGTCATAAAATAATCCATCCTAGTGACTTTAGAGTAGCTATCAAATTTATCATGCGTATGATCTGTTTCTAACTTACTTGTCCATATCAAGCGCACACGTGCAAGACTACCCTATATATGCATGTGATTTAAACTAAGATTTAGTAAAAAACACAGCTCAAAAGATATCCTTGAGACAGACTAAGATGGAATGCAGTTCATAATGCGCATCGATATCATTAACGCTAAACTCTTAAATGAAAGAGATAATATAGCATAACTGTTCATAGATCTAACCATGTTAAGCGAAATTCTGTTATTCCTATTTGACACCTCAATCCATTGAGCGTCAATTACGGAAAACTGGTACACAACACCCTCATTGACTATATAGTCTTTGGACTATCTCAAGAAATACTCATATCTACGATCAGATCGAAGTGTTTTGATAAGTTTACCTAATCTATGCTCCACGTCAGTCTTGAAACTTTCGGAATATACCAAAAATTTAAGACTTGTGTCGCATCAGATAAATTTATCCAAAACGTGAGTAATCTTGCTTGGATGTTCATAAGACCATACGTATCTGTGTATACCGACTCCAATTGTCCTTTATGTCTATTTCATTTGGCTGATTAAGCCCTTAGAGTTATCTATCCTTCAAAACAGGATTCACAAGTTTGGTTTAGGCTCCTCTGCCTCACTAGGTAATAAACCATCTTTGACCAATCTTTGAATCTCATTTTGACTGATTACAATCCAAAAATAGACACTAAAAATACAATAAGTCAAGAATAACAAATTTTCTCTTAACATTCAATCTAGAAGATGCAACATTAGTTTCTACATCCTGCAAATCTTAAGAGCTTGTGATTATAGTATATTAATCATCTTTCAATGCACCAGAAGCAATCACATATCTATTCAATTTTATAAAACTAGTTTTACAAAACAACAACACAGTTTTTATAAACCAAAAGTGAAACAAGAATGAGATTGCATCTAGCATATGTGCATAAAGATAGTTCTCTAATACTAATATCCTCATACTCTCTAATTTCAGATGTTATACTCCCACTGACTTAACTACAACCTTGGCATCAGGTCAAAAGATAAATATTTATCCATATCATCAAGGCTTCTGGATTCCTGAAATCCTTACAATGAATTGCAAACATGTTTAGTAGCTCCAGAATCTATCCATCATGAATTAATATATACAACCATATAATATGGCTCAATGATTAAATATATATTTTCCTATGCCAAGTCATTGCTTAGACAGTTCGTCCTTTAGTGTCTTAGTTAGCGACAAAAGAAACAGTTTCCTTCACCATTAACATACACTCCCTTATTCCCTTTAACCTTTTGAATACCCATGTTTTGTGTTAGCTTAGTCCTATTATCATCCTTCTTCTTTCCTTTACCCTTCCACTTGAGCCTAGAAGAAGATGGTATAGACTAGGTTAGATTGATAAGCCCGCCCGTACTTTTGATTATCCCTTCATCTGTTACCAATTCTATAATAATATCAGCGAGTGTGATTTCAAACTGATTCCTTATTTAGTTCATTTTAAAAGAGTCGAACGAGTTTGGTAACAAGGCAATAATCATGTTAACTTAAAACTTACCACCCAAGTCAGCCTTATTGACCTCCAGTTAAATTTTTAAATAATAAACAATCATTTTCAAAATTCGATTTCTTACTGGAGTTCCTTAGACTGTCTTAATGGTAATCAAGTCTGACACAATACAAAGGCATAAACTGTGATATCATCCATTTGTTTATTTTTAGTGGGGTATTATTTGTTTGAAAGAAAGAATGTATAATGTTATGTGGCACTTGTAGGAGTATGGTGGTGGCAGCAGTAACACTTGTCCTTATGCATGGGATGAAGTCGCCAGGTGTCTTTCCACTTACATTAAAGCTTCTGGAAGAAGCTTAGTTGACTCAAAAGTCTTCAAGGCTTAGTGGAAAATGTAAATATCTTTATATAATAGTGTACAAAACCACATACACACACACCACTTGGTCTCGGCTAGAGAGAGAGAGAGAGAGACTAGAGGGAGGAGGAAGGAGGAACCAGTAGCCATAAGGAGGTAGGTTTTCAGATCTTAAATTTTTTTAATTTTCAAATCTGGTATTCAAAAAAAAAAAGGAAAGTTTGAAACTTTTGCTTCCGGATATTCTCTCCAAATATTGTTTTAGTTGTGAAATCTGTTGGCCAATAATCTGATATTTTTGTAAATTTGGTCTTGTTGTGGAATCTGAACAGAACACTAGATTGGCTTTCAGAATGCTATTTTCATAATTTTACTTTTACTATTTTCTTTGAAGTTTTAAGGCATTGAAATACCCTATAAATTTAACTTGTGGAATTTTATTTGATTTGATTTACTTACCTATTGAATTAATTATGGAATCATTTTAGTGTGTAAGGTAGTTCATGAAATTACTTTTCACCCAGAAATCCCTCTATCTTTTGTGACTAAAAAATTAATTCCTGTATATAGTTTCTTTCTGGAATATTGATTATGAATTTCATATTAAAATCAATTGGGTTACAATTAGTTTTCGTGTATATCAGTTTGGTCAATAGAAGACTTTATACCAACTTTTGAGTAAATAATATTTTTTTTAAGTTTGCTAAAAGTTTTTTTTTTGATAGCAGTAGCCTTGTAAAAATAGGTATTTTATGCTCATGAAGGCTGTGCACAGATTATGCTCTTTGCTGGTAGTATTTCTTTGAAGTTCTCTTTTACAGATTTGTATTCCATGTAGATTTCTTATTTATATTATTATATTTGTAATATTTGATTTATGAATTAGTAGTATTGAATTATTAGTAAATTTATATTTGTAAATTGTGATTATGTAGGGGAATGAAAATGTTTTTGGGTAAGGCTGCCCATGGTGGTAATTGATTATGTTTTTCCAACTGTGTATGTGACTCAGAATCAAATAGGTAGGGTAAAAGTTTCCCTTAGGTTGAAAAACCTTAAACGGCCTGGGCCCTAACGAGTGGGTGTTCACGGTCCTGGGGTGAGAGCCCCTTAATCCGAAGGACGGGGGCGGCAGTCCTGAGGGGTGGGTCCTTAAAGACGTGTGGGTGTACACAGTATTGGACCGATTTTGATTATTATTGTTTTGCGGGATTGGTTATGTTTGATGAACAAATCAATTTCTTGATTTTTCTAGATACAAGAGTTTTTTTTATATGAGATGAATTTTGAATAAAATGTTTAATTTTTCATTGAGTTGGAATACTATATATATATATTAGTTATGTATTCGTCGACAGCCTACTTAAGTGTTCAGTTAAAATTTTCACATGGCTATAGTTCTTCGCTACCTCAACTATTAAAGAAGGTTCATTTGAATTTTGATTTTTTTAAATATATATATATATATATATATATATATATATATATATATATCTATTTATTTTTCATAAAATCGGAAACCTACTGGGCTCTTTTGAGCTCACCCTTTTTCTAAAATTTCTTTTCAGGTCCTAGTGGTGGTGAAAAGGTCGCAGTGCAGGAGTAGGGATGGCATTAGGCGGGTTTCTTTCATGGAGGCATGACAGTCCGTGGGAGACTGCTATGTATATATTTTTGTACCAATGGCTGCCTTTTTGTTTGGGTTATAAATTATATAAATAATAAGCAGCCTAGTGGGGACTTGTGTGTATCTCCTTTTGTGATTGTAAATGGAACTTTTGGTTGTATATAAAGACTATGGACGGAATGATCATGGGTACGTTAGTTGATGTTTAAGGGTTAAGTCTATGAATGGACTTTTTGGCTATGAATTTGGATTTGGCTAGTTTTGTTCCTTTATGTTATCAAGCAGGTTATGATTTTTTTTTAGTATTGGTGTTTGATTCTTGCTTTAGTGGGAAGCGGGGCGTGATAGAATGGTATCAGAGCCCTAGGTAATAGATTTACTCGGGAATATGGGTATGTGAGTAGGTTGGATCAGTATTTTTTTGTTTGGAATGACATTTCAGAGGTGATTTAGGATTTCTTATTTAGTGCGTATGATATTTTTATTTGTTTTATTTTGTTTAGTTCATCTTGGATTCTTCTTAGCCATTGTTTGTTTATTTATTTATTTATAGTATGGCCGAATCAACACAATCAGAGGATGATCCGGTTTCTCAAGGGACCGGTGGTGTGGATGCTTGCGGGGTGCAACGTGTCATGCGGGATATGGCTGCTGCTTTTCAGCAAATTGTGCACAAGGAAATAGAGGGCATGCAAAGTTTAGCGCGATGGCATCATTAAAGGAGTTTAGGAGGCTTTATCCTCCTACTTTTGACGGAATTGCAGGTGGACAAGCTGCAGAGGAGTGGTTAGAGCAAGTTCGCCGTATCTTTGACACTCTAGAGACACCAGAAAATCAAAGGGTGAAACTTGCCACTTTTCAGCTTTTGGAGCAGGCAAACCACTGGTGGAAGACAGTAGAGTCATCTGGTAGAGTGGGTAGTTGGAACGAGTTCCAGAATATTTTCTTAGATCATTTCTTTCTTAGGGTTCAACGAAATTCATTGATGGCAGACTTTATTCATCTAATTCAGAGGGACACGCAATATCAGGCGAGGTTTAATGCATTGTCTCGTTATGCTAGTCATCTTGTTGCAATAGAGCATGACAGGATATGGCATTTTCAACGGGGATTAAGACCATCCATTAGACGGAGTGTGGTGAATCTTGGCTTAACCCGATTTGCAGATGTGGTTAGTACAGCCTTGTTGGCTGAATAGGAGCTAGATGAGTATAGGCAGATTCGGGACTCAAGAAAAAGGTTTGGGCAACAGAACACAGGTAATAGGAGCGGAAACAAGAGGTCTAGAGAGTTTAACAGGGAATCTGATATGCCATCTCGGGGACAATTTCAAAGGACAGGTGACACTCAAGGTTCAAGTCAAAGAATCTGCTCTTGTTATGAATGTGTTCAACCCGACCACATTAGGAATGATTGTCCACGGCTAAAAGGGAAACAAAGTCAGTCTAGCAATGTAAATCAGTCTGGGAGTCAACAGTACAGGCCACCACAACCACGGTCGGGTAGACCAGATATGCAGCGTTAAGAGGGTCAAACGTCTTCTTGACCCTAACAAACTGACACTCAGGCAGGATCTAGAGCACATGGTCGTGTTTACTCTCTCCCTTTGGCAGCAAATCAGCCAGACCATAAAGTGGTGGAAGGTAGCTTTCTTCTATTCAGTACCTATGCTAGAGTATTATTTGACTCTGGTGCTACTCATTCTTTTATATCTGCTTCATTTGCAATTATGATGGGTTTGGAATCTGAACCTATGGATTACTCACTTTATGTTAACCTCCCGATTGGGAGTACCTTAAATATTAGACGAGTTTGTCGGGATTGTGAAATGGAGATTGCCAACCGCCAATTAACTTTTGATTTAATAGTTATGGACATGGTCCCATATGATGTCATTCTTGGAATAGATTGGTTGTCAGCCTTTGGGGCTATTTTAGATTGTTAGCGAAAGAGGGTGACCATTGTTTTACCTAACGGAGACAGTTTCGTTTTTCATGGAGAACTGGAGTCTAGTTGTTCTGGTATTTTTGTTGATCCTCAAGAGCACTGAGATCATTTCGGTTGGATGGCCAACTTAAAGGGAGAAACGGACAGTGGTCTAGGTGTAAGTGGCATTCGGGTTGTAGAAGAGTTTCCCGATGTTTTTCTAGATGATTTACCAGGTTTACCTCCCAAACGTGAGGTGGACTTTGCTATAGAATTATGTCCCGGCACTTCTTCGATTTCCAATGCTCCCCATCGCATAGCCCCTGTCAAGTTGCGAGAATTGAAGGTGCAATTGGGAGAATTACAGGAAAAGGGTTTTGTTCGCCCTAGCACTTCCCCTTGGGGTGCACCAGTGCTTTTTGCAAAGAAAAAGGATGATACACTTAGATTATGCATTGATTATCGGAAGCAGAATCTGGTGACAATAAAGAATAAGTACCCACTGCCACGGATAAATGATTTATTAGATCAGTTGAGAGGTTCTCGTTACTTTTCGAAGATAGATCTCCGTTCAGGATATCATCAGTTGCGGGTGAGAGATGAGGACATTCCAAAGACTGCTTTTCGTACTCGCTATGGGCATTATGAGTTTGTGGTGATGCCTTTTGGGCTGACAAATGCTCATGCCGCTTTCATGGACTTGATGCATCGTGTGTTTCACCCATTCTTGGATCAGTTTGTTGTAGTTTTCATTGATGATGTTCTAATTTATTCTAAATCCGAGGAGGAGCACGAGCATTATTTGCGTACAGCCTTACAGGTGCTAAGGGAGAACCAATTATATGCCAAACTCAATAAATGTGACTTTTGGTTGTCTGAAGTGAAGTTTCTGGGGCATGTAGTTTCTCGTGAAGGTGTTTCAGTCGACCCTTCAAAAGTGGTTGCTGTTCTCGAATGGGAAAGACCGAGGAATGTGACGGAAATAAGGAGTTTCCTTGGATTGGCAGGGTATTATCGTCGATTTGTGAGGGATTTTTCACGTATAGCATCCCCAATGACTCGGTTGATGCAGAAGGGAGTGAAGCTCGAGTGGACTGATGCTTGTGAGCAGGCTTTTCAGGAATTAAAGAAACGGTTAACCTCGGCACCAGTTCTTGTCATTCCTGAACGAGGATTAGATTATCACGTTTTCACTGATGCATCTCGACTAGGACTTAGTGGTGTCCTACAATATGCAAGGTGAATTATTAATACTATCATGCATATTTAAAATTAAAAAGAGTTTGTTAACCACATAATATAATAAATCTCAAATAGAATAAGTGATCATTATCATTATTGGTGAACAATTTCTTTTAATTAATACGGGTCCCTCAACTTTGTAGCATAATAAATCACACAATCAATAAGTTAATAACTTATCCTGTTGGAGGAGTTCATTATTACTATTGATGAGATTCATTTGCTATTAGGCGAGCACTTCGATTAAAATAAAATGTGGGTCCCTTAACCACTGCATGAAAAATCGGATAACCAATACGCCAATAACTTATTTGGTTGACGAAGTTTATTATTATTATTGGCGGGCAAATCCCATCATTTCTATATCTCTTAAGACAATGCCTTATCTATTATATGAAATGATTCCCGGTTTCGTTTAACCTTTCTAAAATCACCTAGTGTAGACCACTCCGTTAAGAAGCTAACACTATTGATTTTAGATTGAATGTATAACGTTATTAAAGCTCTAATGAAAAATAAAACATTAAATATCTTGTCATTATAATCTAGACTCTTTAAATCATGCGTAGGACCTTATTTTTAAAGATCTAATTACAATGAACATTTAATATTTTTATTTTCATGAGACAACCATTCTTGTAATAGTAAGACTCTTCAAATCATGCGTGGAGCCTTATTTTTGAAGATCTAATTACAATAGTTTTAATAACGAAGGCCATGGGGTAATGTATAAAAATCCCCGCTCCCACTCAATTTTTAATTATTTATAATTAGGGTTTTCAATTTATTCATTTACATGATATAATGCATGCAAAACGTCTTGATCTTAATCCAATTAAATTTAAAAAATATTTGGACTTTTAAATGATTCACTAATATTTAATTTGAAGCACACTTTAAAAAATAATTTACAAAAATAATTTTTCGTTTCCCTATAAATGCCCTCAAATTAACTAGTAATCAAATCCAATTAATTTTCATAATTTAATTAATATAGATCAAGTCATTTAATTAAATATCATGGATCCAATGCATGAATAATAATAATTAACAATTAATTATTCCATGCATCACATAAATAAATAAATAACAGATAAAAGCAATTTAAATGACCAATGAATTCAGCTTTTAACATTTAGATACTATTCTTGCTGTGCGGACGTCTTTCACCAGTCTGTCAATACCTATAGGAAGCTTGCACGCGCCTGGGGCATGCAGCAGTGCAAGACACGTGCCCCCACACGCTGGCACGGGCCTAGGGTACGTGGGATGTGCCCCCACGCTCGTGGAGGGGTTAATTGCCTTGGTTGGCGCGTGAGATGCACGCGCCAGCAAGTCTTTTCAAGCTATACCTCCTGGTGCGTGTTCCACACGTGCCAGGCTCACCTTTGGTGCGAAGCACCATATCCCAACCTCCTTTGACACTCTTCTCGCCGCCGGCGATGCTTCTGCCACCGGAAAAAAGCCAAAAAATTCCAAAAAAATATGGAAAAATCCCAGAAAATTAAATTAAGCCTCAAAAAATTCCAGAAAAATTTCAAAAAATTCCAGAAAATCATTGAAGCATAATTTAACCCTTTCAGACCCTCTTGAAGCTTCATAGCATCCTTTGATGAAGATTACATGGCTTTAATAAATATTTACAATTTGAAATACAATGGAAAAAATTAAATTGCATCGTTTAACTTTCAAATGGCTAAATCAAAGCCTTAATTATATTCATCCAAAGATAAAATTACATTCAATTATCCTATAAGCTTCATCCATGCCTCAAACACACATCATCATCCATTCACAATTATACATACATCATCATATATCAATATATTAATTCATACATCAACATACATTAATAAATAAATATATGCATATCAAAATTGGATTCATAAATGATGAATTTTGATAAAAACATGATCTCTAGTAATGAATCAAACCATGTTCTGATACCACTGAAGGGAAACGTACTAATTTAAAAAACTTTTCGAGGGATTTTGATTCATAAATCTTGATTCATCACATAGAGACAAGTTTTATGCAAAAATAAAATATGATGTATCATTCAATTAACAGATTGAATACTTATATCAAAGGTCTGAGTAAACCTTTAAATCTTTCCTCTAAAGTGAATGTTCTCACTTATTGTAGATCCCTTAGCAAGATGCATTCTCCTTAGATCTCCATCTTCTTGGTAATTGTTTTACCTTTAGGAAACACTCATAAGCCTCCATGAATAACCTTGGAAAATTAGGCTTGTGGGAGCCTCCATTAGATGAGAACATTAACCCTAATTTTCTAGAAAGAATTTATATTCCTTTTTCCTTCTCCCAAAAATCACCCCTAAAATATACATAAACTATGTATATATATAGGCAACATAAAGATAAAAACAAAACAATAAATCCTTCTCAATCTCTAATTCACATATCTCATATCTAATAGGATTCCAATATCAAGTTGGGCTATGAGTGAGAATCCTTTGGGCTTATTATTTTATTGGCTACAATAAATTAATAATCGGCCTGATCCATGGACTCAATTCAATTAATTCATTAATTAATTTCTACTCCACTAAAAGAAATTAATTGAACTCCAATTAAATAATAAATAACCTCTAAGTCAATGTTGCACTTTGACCCCTATATGCATAATTAGTTATCGGATAAATACAGCCATCAATCCGACTACTTAATTAATATATTTATTTTGGTACCTTTGATTATTTCTGGCTCGATCACAATAAAACATTTGTTTGATAAAAATAATAATTTAAATAAATAAATATATAATAAATCATTTTGTCTAAAAACGCACGAAGGCCTTCGAATTTACTTTGTGATTAACCATAATCAATACAAAATAAATACAAGTAGTAATGATGCAAATATCAAAAATATAACTCTCTAACTATTAATTACATAACTACTTAAAGTGTCGGTCTAAGGATCTCGAAGAATCCGCCGAACAAATCAAAGTAATTATTAATTAATAAAAGATTTTATACTTTTCTCTTGCTTAAGAGTCAAATGTCATGACGGTGATAGGGAACAATTGCATACGACGACTCTAGCAATATATCTCAACCTAATGCGAATCCAGTTCAAATCTTAATTAATTATGAGTCCATTCATAATTACAGACTATGAACAATTTATGATTACTATTTATATTCATGTATTGATCACCATCACATACATGTATAAATATCTCTTGTAATCAAGTAGACACTATCAATTCTATAATGAATTAAAACATAATACATTGAATTCACCAATGTCAGGAACATATATCACTATAACCCAAATAGAAATTTGTTATGTCAGGGCATATAAATCCCAACAGGACATGTAAGGCAACTGA